AATTCCAGTCTTGAAACAGACTGAACATACTGTGAGAATGACAAGCCAGGCGTCGGCAGACATACCAGACCGATAGGCAGACATGAACTTAGAGGCAGTTACACAGTCAATAACAACATTGCAGCTTTTTGCTTTTATGCTCACCTGCATATCTCACACAACCTCCCTCCACCCACACCTTCCTCCTCCATCATCAAACCGCCACCATCTCTTCCTCCACCACCACACAAGCACTCCCACCCTTTATCACCACCCACATCACACACATGCACACACCATACTGTACCTCCACCACCATACAGCAGTAGTAAACAATTACCACATAACAGCAGTAACAGTGCACATCACGCCTCTTCCACCTCCTTCCACGCACCATTATCCTCAGGGTAAAATTTAACTCACCATTTGTGTGTGAAAAGTTGCAGGCTGCGATATAAACGATACTGTGTGCAGGAGAAACCATTATGGCCATGTTGTATTACTTGAGGTTACAGAGGCTGTCAGTATAAGCATCTGTTGTATTAGCAGGTTACAGAATCTGGTATAAACGTCTGTTGTATTAGCAAAGTTGCAGGTATCAGTATAGACATCTGTTATTAGCAGTTGCAGAGAACATCGGTACAAGCGTCTGTTATCTTGGCGAGTTACAGAGACTGTCAGTACTCGTATGTAAACCAAGAAAACTGACAATAGGCAACACCTTGGCCAGATTCACTGGCATAAATGACTAAAATTTATTTACTTTCTCTGGTTAAGAACGGGGTGGAGTGTAAATAATGCTGCATCTGTCTTGTCCTGTCGAGCAGTTCTTGAGGTGTGGTAAAGCTAAAAGAGTGAAGAAAGGATGACTTATCCACCACACAGGCGACACAACGCCATGCTGGGCCATTCAGGGATTCATTGATTTTTGAAATCCATGTTTTCTGCATGCAGAAATTGGTTTGAGTTTTGTGCCTACCTTGCAATCATTAATAAAAAGAGTTTCCTTACGACTTCATTTTGATCTTATGCATGCTTTAATGGCTAAATATATATCCAATAAATCAAATTCAATTAATAATCATCAAATATTAAATAATAAATAATACAATCAATCTTGCATGACACTACCTAATATACAACCCAAATAAAATCAAATGATTCAGGTTTGATTAGGTTCAAGATTTGGTTAGATAAGGTTGATTTGGTTTGTTTTCACCATCAAAAAAATTATGATTAATGGTGAAAAATTGGAGACTAAGTTTAAATAAAGTTACAATTTGAAATTTGGTATATTTATATCCGTCAAATAGCATAACGTAAGTTATAGTATGTACAACAGCGCTACGCACAACATAACTTAACAACATATTGATACTTTACAACATATAGAACCAAGTTAATAAAATCCTATCTTTGATTCATTTAAGACATAAATTTGCAACTAAACAACCACAAAAGAATCAAGACAACCCCATCAGCGATAGCACCAGCACAATAATTATTTACTGCGCTCACCGACAACCCTGTTATTCCAATCTGACCAACCCGGTGGTCAGGGCCCATATCCTAGTTCTGCAGGCACTAAATCAGATTACTAGCGTAACAATTTTAACAACAAAGGACTAGTATCAGGGCTTATTTTTAACTCTGATGGGTATAGAACCTTAGGATTTGTACTCCCAAACTGATGCAGTTTTCCCCCCATGATCAACAGCTTTTCAATGATGCTCCTGTCACAACACCATCGATGACCTGTCTACCATGGTACCGTGACCTAATCCTGTAATAATACCAAATACAGAAACATCCTACTCCAAATGCGCAGGCTCCCTCCTATAATTCCATGAGCCTATCTTATAATTATACCGTGACCTATCTATAAGCCATACAATGACCTATCCTAAAAATCATACGTGACCTATCCTATAAATTGCCGTGAGCCTATCTACAACCCACCCATGAGCCTACAATCGCCCAACCTATCTCATCATCATGCACTGCAGACCTATCCTATAATTATACCGTGACCCATCTTGTAATTATACCGTGACCCATCCTAATTATACTCTCGACTCTATCCTATAATCATACCGTGACCTATCCTATAATTATACCGTGACCTATCCTATAATCATACCGTGACCTATCCTATAATAATACCGTGACCTATCCTATAATCATACCGTGACCTATCCTATCATCTTGCCGTGACCTATCCTATAATCATGACGTAACCTATCCTATCATCTTGCCGCGACCTATCCTATAATCATACCGTGACCTATCCTATCATCTTACCGTGACCTATCCTATCATCTTGCCGTGACCTATCCTATAATCATACCGTGACCTATCCTATAATCATACCATGACCTATCCTATAATCATGACGTGACCTATCCTATCATCTTTCCGTGACCTATCCTATAATAATACCGTGACCTATCCTATAATAATACCGTGACCTATCCTATAATAATACCGTAACCTATCCTATAATAATACCGTGACCTATCCTATAATAATACCGTGACCTAACCTATTATCATATCGTGACCTATCCTATAATAATACCGTGACCTATCCTATAATAATACCGTGACCTATCCTATAATAATACCGTGACCTAACCTATAATCATATCGTGACCTATCCTATAATCATACCGTGACCTAACCTAACCTAACCTAACTTAACCTATTTTAACAAAACCCTCGGTGGTTGGTTTTGTCGAGTAGTTTACCCAAATCGTTAAGTTATATACAGTAGTAAACACTTGAAGGAACGGACATTAGTCACAGTACGCAGAAAACACTCGACACCGTAACTCACTGATTACAGAACCAGGATCCAAAACCTAACCTAACCTAACCTACCCTTAACATAACCCAACTTACCCTTAATATATCCTAACCTATCCTAACATACCCTAACCTATCCTAACGTATCCTAACTTACCTTAACATACCCTAACCTACCCTTAACATATCCTAACCTACCCTTAACATATCCTAACCTACCCTTAACATATCCTAACCTACCCTTAACATATCCTAACCTACCCTTAACATATCCTAACCTACTCTTAACATATCCTAACCTACCCTTAACATATCCTAACCTACCCTTAACATATCCTAACCTACTCTTAACATATCCTAACCTACCCTTAACATATCCTAACCTACTCTTAACATATCCTAATCTACCCTTAACATATCGTAACCTACTCTTAACATATCCTAACCTATCCTTAACATATCCTAACCTACCCTTAACATATCCTACGGTTCGATTCTGGATTTTACACTTCCGCCTCATAATTCGACAAGGAGAAAAATGATCACGTGGAGAAGACGAGAGTTGTCCCAGCAATGAAATAACTAAGAACAAACGAGAGAGAACAAGACAGAACAACCCAGATTGATATAGTAAAAAGAACACTTACAAGAACAAGGTAATATGAATCAATATAAAGGAAGATGTGTACGTTGAGAAAAAAAAATGGTCCTTCAGTGTAGATGAACCATCCTCTTTCTCCTCCCTCTTAAAACAAAAAGACCACAGTCAGTAGGAAGAAACGCGCCCCCCCCCCTCCCCTCCACCTCTTTAAACTCACCCATGGGAGTACTTTGACAGGGTGGGGTTGGCGCACCCTATCTAATCCAACAACACGGGAGAAGAATAAACTCCTTCATTTATACTCGTGGCAGGTAGGTGTGTAGGGGGGGGGTGGGTGGGGGTCTATAGCTGACGAAACGATGCAACAACAACAACAACAACAACAACAACAACAACAAAAACAACAACGAACAACAACAGTAACTATAAGAGCTCTTCGGGAAAACCTGCATAACACACCTGTACAGTATATAAGCATCATCCAGGTATATTTATCCAGTATACTGAATTGAAGAAAACCATTGCTCAAGTATACAACATACAGTACATCCCTTCATCATGCGGACACTGAAGAAATTCCATGTCTATTATCGCTTCTGAAAACTGACAATAATACTTTCAGAGGCGTAAGGTGCTCTCGGTGATGTAAGACGTGTGGTAAGGTGCTCTCGGTGATGTAAGACGTGTGGTAAGGTGCTCTCGGTGATGTAAGACGTGTGGTAAGGTGCTCTCGGTGATGTAAGACGTGTGGTAAGGTGCTCTCGGTGATGTAAGACGTGTGGTAAGGTGCTCTCGGTGATGTAGGACGTGTGGTAAGGTGCTCTCGTGATGTGAGACTGTGGTAAGGTGCTCTGGTGATGTGAGACGTGTGGTAGAGTGCTCTCAGTGATGTGAGACGTGTGTAAGGTGCTCTCAGTGTGAGACGTGTGGTAGGTGCTCTCAGTGATGTGAGACGTGTGGTAGGTGCTCTCAGTGATGAGTGTGGGGTGCTCTCGGTGATGTGAGACGTGTGGTAGGTGCTCGATGTGAGACGGTGTGGTAGGTGCTCTAGGTGATGTAAGACGTGTGGTAAGCTCTCGGTGATGTAAGACGTGTGGTAAGTGCTCTCAGTGATGTGGACGTGTGGTAAGGTGCTCTCGTGATGTAAGACGTGTGGTAGGTGCTCTCTGTGATGGGACGTGTGGTAGGTGCTCTCGGTGATGTAAGACGTGTGGTAGGTGCTCTCGGTGATGGACGTGTGGTAAGGTGCTCTCGGTGATGGAGACGTGTGGTAGGTGCTCTCGGTGATGTAGACGTGTGGTGTGCTCTCAGTGATGTAAGACGTGTGGTAGGTGCTCTGGTGATGTAGACGTGTGGTAGGTGCTCTCGGTGTAAGACGTGTGTGGAGTGCTCTCGGTGATGTAAGACGTGTGGTAAGGTGCTCTCGGTGATGTGAAGACGTGTGGTAAGTGCTCTCGGTGATGTGGGACGTGTGGTAGGTGCTCTCGGTGATGTGGACGTGAGTAGGTGCTCTCGGTGATGTAAGACGTGTGGTAAGGTGCTCTCGGTGATGTAAGACGTGTGGTGGTGCTCTCGGTGATGTAAGACGTGTGGTAAGGTGCTCGGTGATGTAAGACGTGTGGTGCTCTCGTGATGTAAGAGTGTGGTAAGGTGCTCGGTGATGTAAGACGTGTGGTAAGGTGCTCGGTGATGGAAGACGTGTGGTAAGGGCTGGTGATGTAAGACGTGTGGTAAGGTGTCTCGGTGATGTGGAGACGTGGTAAGGTGCCTGGTGATGTAAGACGTGGTAAGGTGTCGGTGATGTAAGACGTGGTAAGGGTGGTTGAGACGTGAAGCGGTGATGTGACGGTAAGGTGCTCGTGAAAGACGGTGCTCGGTGATGTAAGACGTGGGTCTCTAAGACGTATGCCTCGGTGATGAAGACGTGGAAGGTGCCTCGGGATGAAGACGGTGGTATGCTCTCGGTGATGGGAGACGTGGTAAGGTGTCTCGGTGATGAAGACGTGTGGAAGGTGTCTCGGTGATGTAAGACGGTGGTAAGGTGTCTCGGTGATGTAAGACGTGGGTGCTCGGTGATGAAGACGTAAGGTGCCTCGGTGATGTAAGACGTGTGGTAAGGTGCTCGGTGATGTAGACGGTGGTAAGGTGCTCTGTGATGTAAGACGGTGGTAAGGTGCTCGGTGATGTAAGACGGGGTAGGTGCTCGGTGATGGGAGACGTGGTAAGGTGCTCTCGGTGATGTGACGCGTGGTAAGGTGCTCCTGGGGATGTAAGACGTGGTAAGGTGCCTCGGTGATGTAAGACGTGGTAAGGTTCGGTGATGAAGACGTGGTAAGGTGCTCGGTGATGTGAGACGTGTGGTAAGGTGCTCGGTGATGAAGACGGTAAGGTGCTCGGTGATGTGAGACGGTAAGGTGTAGCTCCGGTGATGTAAGACGGTGGTAAGGTGCTCGGATGTAGACGGTGGTGCTCGGTGATGTAAGACGTGGTAAGGGCTCTCTGATGGGATGTAAGGTGCTCGGTGATGTAACGTGGTAAGGTGCTTCGGTGATGTAAGACGTGGTAAGGGTGCTCGGTGATGTAAGACGGGTAAGGTGCTCGGTGATGTAAGACGTGTGGTGGTTGCGTTCTCGGTGATGTGAGACGTGGTAAGGTGCCTCGGTGAGAGACGTGGTAGGTGTCTCGTGATGTAAGACGGTGGTGCTCTCGGTGATGTGAGACGTGTGGTAAGGTGCTCTTTGTGATGAAGACGGGTAAGGTGCCTCGGTGATGTAAGACGTGCGGTAAGAAGTAGGTGCTCGGTGATGTAAGACGGTAAGGTGCTCGGTGATGAAGACGTGGTAAGGTGTTCGGTGATGTGAGACGGTGGCCGGTGATGAAGACGTGGTAGTGCCTCGGATGTGAGAGACGGTAAGGTGCTCGGTGATGGAGACGTGTGGTAGGTGCTCTCGGTGATGTAAGACGGTGGAAGGTGCTCGGTGATGTAAGACGGTGGTAAGGTGGCTCTCGGTGATGAGACGTGTGGTAAGGGGCTCGGGAGTGGAAGTGCCGTGATGTAGAGTGTAAGGTGTCTCGGTGATGTGAAGACGGTGGTTGCGTCTCGGTGATGTGGAGACGTGTGGTAAGGTGCTCGGTGAGAGACGGTGGTGTGCCCGGCGACGAGACGTGTAAGGTGCTCGGTGATGTAAGACGTAAAGGTGCTCGGTGATGTAAGACGTGGTAAGGTGCTCGGTGATGTAAGACGGTGGTAAGGTGCTCTGTGATGTGAGACGGTGGTAAGGTGTTCGGTGATGTGAGACGTGTGGTAAGGTGCTCGGTGATGGAGACGGTGGTGTTGCGTGCTCGGTGATGTGGAGACGGTGGTAAGGTGCTCGGTGATGTGACGTGTGGTGCTCGGTGATGGAAGACGGTGGTAAGGTGCTCGGTGATGTGAGACGGTAGGTCCGGTGATGTGGAGACCGTGGTAAGGTGCTCGGTGATGAAGACGGTAGGGTGCCCGGTGATGTAAGACGTGTGGTAAGGTGCTCGGTGATGTAAGACGTGGTAAGGTGCTCGGTGATGTAAGTGGTAAGGTGTTGTGATGTGAGACGTGGTAAGGTGTCTCGGTGATGTAAGACGTGTGGTAAGGTGCTCTCGGTGATGTAAGACGTGGTAAGGCGTCTCGGTGATGTAAGACGGTAAGGTGCTCGGTGATGTAAGACGGTGGTAAGGTGCTCTCGGTGATGAAGACGTGTGTAAGGTGCTCGGTGATGACGGTGATGTGGAAGGCGCCGGTGAGTGAGACGGATGCGCTCGGTGATGTAAGACGGTAAGGTGTTCGGTGATGAAGACGGTGGTAAGGTGCTCGGTGATGGGTAAGACGTGGTAAGGTGTCTCTGATGTAAGACGGTGGTAAGGTGCTCGGTGATGGAAGACGTGGTAAGGTGCTCTCGGTGATGGGAGACGTGTGGTAAGGCTCTCGGTGATGAAGACGGTGGTAAGGTGCCCAGATGGTAAGACGTGGTGGGTGGTGCTCGGTGATGGGCGTGGTAAGGCGTCTCGGTGATGTAAGACGGTGGTAAGGTGCCTCGGTGAGTGCGTGGTAGTCAGACGGGCGAGTGGTGGCTCTCGGTGATGGGAAGACGTGGTAAGGTGCCTCGGTGATGTGAGACGTGGTAAGGTGTGCTCGGTGATGTAAGACGTGGTAAGGTGCTTTCGGTGATGTAAGACGTGGTAAGGTGTCTCTGTGATGTAAGACGTGTGGTAAGGTGCTCGGTGAGGAGATGGGTAAGGTGTCTCGGTGATGAAGACGGTAAGGTGAGTAGACGGTAAGGCGTCTCGGTGATGTAAGACGTGTGGTAAGGTGCTCTCGGTGATGTGGACGTGTGGTAAGTGCTCTCGGTGATGTAAGACGTGTGGTAGGTGCTCTCGGTGATGTGAGACGTGTGGTAAGGTGCTCTCGGTGATGTAAGACGTGTGGTAAGGTGCTCTCGGTGATGTAAGACGTGTGGTAAGGTGCTCTCGGTGATGTAGACGTGTGGTAAGGTGCTCTCGTGATGTAAGACGTGTGGTAGGTGCTCTCGGTGTAAGACGTGTGAGGTGCTCTCAGTGATGTAAGACGTGTGTAAGGTGCTCTCGGTGATGTAAGACGTGTGGTAGGTGCTCTCGGTGATGTGAAGACGTGTGGTAAGGTGCTCTCGGTGATGTGGGACGTGTGGTAAGGTGCTCTCGGTGATGTAGACGTGTGGTAAGGTGCTCTCGGTGATGTAAGACGTTGGTAAGGTGCTCTCGGTGATGTGAGACGTGTGGTAAGGTGCTCTCGGTGATGTAAGACGTGTGTAAGTGCTCTCGGTGATGTGAGACGTGTGGTAAGGTGCTCTCGGTGATGTAAGACGTGTGGTAAGGTGCTCTCGATGTGGACGTGTGGTAGGTGCTCTCGGTGATGTAAGACGTGTGGTAAGGTGCTCTCGGTGATGTAAGACGTGGTAAGGTGCTCTCGGTGATGATGTAAGACGTGTGGTAAGGTGCTCTCGGTGATGTAAGACGTGTGGTAAGGTGCTCTCGGTGATGTGAGACGTGTGGTAAGGTGCTCTCGGTGATGTGAGACGTGTGGTAAGGTGCTCTCGGTGATGTAAGACGTGTGGTAAGGTGCTCGTGATGTGAGACGTGTGGTAAGTGCTCTCGGTGATGTGAGACGTGTGGTAAGGTGCTCTCGGTGATGTAAGACGTGTGGTAAGGTGCTCTCGGTGATGTAGACGTGTGGTAAGGTGCTCTCGGTGATGTAGACGTGTGGTAAGGTGCTCTCGGTGATGTGAGACGTGTGGTAAGGTGCTCTCGGTATTAAGACGTGTGGTAAGGTGCTCTCGGTGATGTAAGACGTGTGGTAAGGTGCTCTCGGTGATGTGAGACGTGTGGTAAGGTGCTCTCGGTGATGTAAGACGTGTGGTAAGGTGCTCTCGGTGATGTAAGACGTGTGGTAAGGTGCTCTCGGTGATGTGAGACGTGTGGTAGGTGCTCTCGGTGATGTGAGACGTGTGGTAGGTGCTCTCGGTGATGTAAGACGTGTGGTAAGGTGCTCTCGGTGATGTAAGACGTGTGGTAAGGTGCTCTCGGTGATGTAAGACGTGTGGTAAGGTGCTCTCGGTGATGTAAGACGTGTGGTAAGGTGCTCTCGGTGATGTGAGACGTGTGGTAGGTGCTCTCGGTGATGTGAGACGTGTGGTAAGGTGCTCTCGGTGATGTGAGACGTGTGGTAGGTGCTCTCAGTGTAAGACGTGTGTGGTAGGTGCTCTCAGTGATGTAAGACGTGTGGTAAGGTGCTCTCGGTGATGTAAGACGTGTGGTAAGGTGCTCTCGGTGATGTAAGACGTGTGGTAGTGCTCTCGGTGATGTGAGACGTGTAGTGGTGCTCTCGGTGATGGACGTGTTGGGCTCTCGGTGATGGACGTGTGTAGGTGCTCTCGGTGATGGACGTGGGTGCTCTCGGTGATGTAAGACGGTAGGTGCTCGGTGATGTGGACGTAGGTGCTGATAGACGTGGTGAGTGAAGGTGCTCGGTGATGTAAGACGTGTGAGTGCTCTCGGTGATGTAAGACGTGTGGTGTCTCGGTGATGAAGACGTGAGTGCTCTCGGTGATTAGAGACGTGTAGTGCTCTGTGATGTGACGTGGTAGGTGCTCGATGATAAGACGTGTGAGGTGCTCTCGGTGATGTGGGACGTGTCTCGGTGATGTAAGACGTGTGGTGCTCTCGTGGGGACGTGTGGTGAGTGCTCTCGGTGTAAGACGTGTGGTAAGGTGTCTCGGTGATGTAAGACGTGTGAAGTGCCGGGTGATGAGTGCTCTCGGTGATGTGAGACGTGTGGTAAGTCTCTCGGTGATGAGGCTCGTGATGTGATGCGTTGGTGAGTGCCTCGATGAGACGTGGTGATGTACGCTCGGTGATGTAGGACGTGTGGTAAGGTGCTCTCGGTGATGTAGACGTGTGGTGAGTGCTCTCGGTGATGTGAGACGTGTAAGGTGCTCTCGATATGAGACGTGTGGTGGTGTCTCGGTGATGTGAGACGTGTGGTAAGGTGCTAGTGATACGGTGTGTAAGACGTGCTCGTGATATAGGGCGTGGTAGGTGCTCTCGGTGATGAGACGTGTAGTGAGTGTGGTGAAGGTGCTCTCGGTGATGGGACGTGGTAAGTAGTGCTCTCGGTGATGTGAGACGTGTGAAGGTGCTCGGTGATATGGACGTGTGGTAAGGTGCTCTCGCTCGGTGATGTAAGACGTGGTGCTCGGTGATGTAAGACTGTGGTAAGGTGCTCTCGGTGATGTAAGACGTGGTAGTGCTCTCGGTGATGAGACGTGTGGTAAGGTGTGGTGCTCTCGGTGATGTAAGACGAGCTGGGTAAGACGTGGTAAGGTGCTCTCGGTGATGTAGACGTAGGTGCTCTCGGTGATGTGGGACGTGTGGTAAGGTCTCGTGATGGACGTGGTAAGTGCTCTCGGTGAAGACGTAGTGTCTCAGTGATGTGAGACGTGTGGTAAGGTGCTCTCATGATGTGGTAATGTGCTCCATGTAAGACGTGTGATGGTGCTCTCGATGTAAGACGTGTAGGTGCTCTCGGTGATGGACGTAGATGTCTCGGTGATGTAAGACGTGTGTGGGTCTCTCGGTGATGTGAGACGTGTGGTAGGTGCTCTCGGTGATGTAAGACGTGGTGCTCTCGGTGATGAGACGTGTTAAGGTGCTCTCGGTATGTAAGACTGTGTAAGGTGCTCTCGGTGATGTAAGACGTGATGAGTGCTCCTGATGAAGACGTGTGGTAAGGTGCTCTCAGTGATGTGGACGTGTGGTAGGTGCTCTCGGTGATGTAAGACGTGTGGTGCTCTCGGTGATGAAGACGTGTCTCAGTGATGACGGTAGGGAGTAAGACCGGTGAAGGTGCTCGTGATGAATAGTAAGGTGCTCTCGGTGATGTAAAGACGTGTGGTAGTGTCTCGGTGATGTAAGACGTGTGGTAGGTGCTCTCGGTGATGAGACGTGGTAAGGTGCTCTCGGTGATGTAAGACGTGTGGTAGGTGCTCTCGGTGATGTGAGACGTGTGGTGCTCTCGGTGATGTAAGACGTGGTAAGTGCTCTGATGAAGACTCTCAGTGATGTGAGACGTGTAAGGCCGTGATGTGGTAAGGTGCTCTCGGTGATCTGAGACGTAGTGGTAAGGTGCTCTCGGTGATGTAAGACGTGTGGTGCTCTCAGTGATGTAGACGTGGTAGGTGCTCGGTGATGTGGACGTGTGGTAAGTCTCTCGGTGATTAAGACGTGTGATGAGTGTCTCGGTGATGTAAGACGTGTGGTAAGGTGCTCTCGGTGATGTAAGACGGTGGTAAGGTGCTCTCGGTGATGTAAGACGTGTGTGGTGTCTCGGTGATGTAAGACGTGTAGGTGTGGTCTCTCAGTAAGGTGAAGACTGGTAGGTGCTCTCGGTGATGTAGACGTGTGAATGCTCTCGGTGATGTGGACGTGTGGTAAGGTGCTCTCGGTGATGTAAGACGTGTGGTAGGGCTCTCGGTGATGTGAGACGTGTGAAGGTGTCTCGTGATGTAAGACTGGTAGTGCTCTCGGTGATGTAGACGTGGTAAGGTGCTCTGATGGACGTGTGGTAGGTGCTCTCGGTGATGTAAGACGTGGTAAGTGTCGGTGATGCTTGCTCTCGGTGATGTAAGACGTGTGGTAAGGTGCTCTCGGTGATGTAGACGTGTGATGGTGCTCTCGATGTAAGACGTGGTGCTCTCGTGATGTGAAGACGTGTGGTAGGTGCTCTCGGTGATGTGAGACGTAGTGCTCCAGTGATAGGGTGAGTAAGGTGCTCTCGGTGATGTGAGACGTGGTGAGGTGCTCTCGGTGATGTAAGACGTGTGGTGCTCGATGTAGAGATGTGGTAAGGTGCTCTCGGTGATGTAAGACGGTAGCGCTCTCGGTGATGTAAGACGTGGTAAGTGCTCTCGGTATGTGGTAGTGTCTGATGAGACGTGGGAAGCTCTCGGTGATGTAAGACGTGTGGTAAGGTGCTCTCGGTGATGTAAGACGTGTAGTAGGTGCTCTCGGTGATGTGACGTGTGAAGGTGCTCTCGGTGATGTAAGACGTGGTAAGTGCTCGGTGATGGTAGGTGCTCTCGATTAAGACTGGTGAGTGCTCTCGGTGATGTGAGACGTGTGGTAAGGTGCTCTCGGTGATGTAAGACGTGGAAGGTGTCTCGGTGATGGGACGTGTGGTAAGTGCTCTCGGTGATGAGACGTGTGATGGTGCTCTCGGTGGACGTGGTAAGGTGCTCTCGGTGATGTAAGACGTGTGGTAAGGTGCTCTCGGTGATGGACGTGTGATGAGTGCTCTCGGTGATGTGTGATGAGTGCTCTCGGTGATGTAAGACGTGGTAAGGTGCCAGTTAGGTGCTCTCGGTGATGTAGACGATGGACGTGTGCTCTCGGTGATGTAAGACGTGTGCTCTCGGTGATGTAAGACGTTGGTAAGGTGCTCTCAGTGATGTGGACGTTAAATGATGCTCTCGGTGATGTAGACGTGTGGTAAGGTGCTCTCGGTGATGAAGACGTGTGGTAAGGTGCTCTCGGTGATGGACGTGTAAGGTGCCGGTGAGTGTAAGACGTGTAAGGTGCTCTCGGTGATGTAAGACGTGGTAAGGTGCTCTCGGTGATGTAAGACGTGTGGTAAGGTGCTCTCGGTGATGTGAGACGTGTAAGGTGCTCTCGGTGATGGGGACGTGGTAAGGTGCTCGGTGATGTGAGACGTGGTAAGGTGCTCGGTGATGTGGACGTGTGGTAAGGTGCTCTCGGTGATGTGAGACGTGGTAGGTGGCTCTCGGTGATGGTAGACGTGTGGTAAGGTGCTCGGTGATGTAAGACGTGTGGTAAGGTGCTCGGTGATGTAAGACGTGTAAGGTGCCCGGTGATGTAAGACGTGGGTAAGGTGCTCTCGGTGATGTAAGACGTGTGGTAAGGTGCTCTCTGATGTAAGACGTGTGGTAAGGTGCCTCGGTGATGTAAGACGTGTGGTAAGGTGCTCCCGGTGATGTGAGACGTGTGGTAAGGTGTCGGTGAGACGTGGTAAGGTGCTCTCGGTGATGTAAGACGTGTGGTAAGGTGCTCTCGGTGATGTGGACGTGTGGTAAGGTGCTCTCGGTGAGACGTGGTAAGGTGCTCGATGTAAGACTGTGGTAAGGTGCCTCGGTGATGTAAGACGTGTAGGAACGGAATCAAGTGTGTGTTGGAGCATTAGTGTGTATGGTTTTAAGTGGGTTGCTTGTGTGTATGAACATGTGTTTTTCAGTATTGTATCTGTGTTTGATATGTATGTATGAGTAAATGTGTGTTTGTATGTGCATGTGGACGTGTGTATGTAGCGTGCTGGTTTCACCTGTGTTGTGAGGTAGTGAGACCTGCGTGACATGAACACGTATATATTGATTTGGACAACCACGTATGTCTAATTTTAACCGAACTTATGGAAGTGTAGACATAACTATTACAACGAATTCGTTATAACACACGTGATAATAGTACCTTTGTTATGATTCCTTTACACTTGAGAAAATTAGCTGACAATAAATCTAATTTGTAAACACGCAATGATTATTTACTTTCCAATTTTTTTAGCTACGTTCACTCCCTAGGTAATAATATCTAGTTCTCAGAAAAGAATTACAGCTCTAGTTATTATCTTATTAGCTCTAGTCAGACTATACCAACAAGCTACAAGCAAATATTAAAAGCTAAAATAGTCTCAGGGGTGACAATTATAGTTGACCCTAACACGAAAAAAAGTATCATCAACACTGATAAACACCGTGTGAAGACAAACTTTCTCTGGTCACGAGCTTATAAATATTCTCTTTATTTATATTACATCTGTTATTGCCTTACTTTCCCTATCACCCCCATAGCCTTACTTTCCCTATCACCCCCATAGCCTTACTTTCCCTATCACCCCCATAGCCTTACTTTCCCTATCACCCCCCATAACCTTACTTTCCCTATCACCCCCCATAACCTTACTTTCCCTATCACCCCCATAGCCTTACTTTCCCTATCACCCCCATAACCTTACTTTCCCTATCACCCCCCATAACCTTACTTTCCCTATCACCCCCATAACCTTACTTTCCCTATCAGCCTCATAACCTTACTTTCCCTATCACCCCCCATAACCTTACTTTCCCTAACGCCCCATAAAAATTAATAATAAAATAAATATTCCCCTTGGCACCTCATTAGCCCCAAAACTGAGCCCTTAATCTAGGTAATTAATCTCCCTCCCGTCATATCAGTCCTCCCACCCGTGTTCATCCACACATGTTAAGCTGGTAACATTCTGTCTGTTCCCCAACACTTGAGGATTCCAACCTCATTCTTACCTTACATGACGTTCAGCAATATTTTAAAAAGAATTGTGTGTGTGTGTGTGTGTGTGTGTGTAATAATTAACCTCATTCTTCGCAAGTTATGCAGATTATTGGAGAGTTGCAAATACATATCCAGTTCCTATACTAGAATGAGCACATAATTGTCCCTAATCAATTTATAAACCCAGTTTTTATTTTACTTTGGATATAAAAAAGTTATAAACAACCTTTCTGTAACCTTGAAAAATCACAGTTATTTTGAAGCTTAGAATAGGCTCCGTCGACTGTACTACGTCATTCCACTACACATGACATTCTTCTTCTACTTCACATTCTCCAATAAATTTAGGAACGTGGTGAGTTATGAGTTTATGGCCCTCTATTACTCCAACCCAGCACGATCATCACGTGTACACTTAACACAATTTCTAATACTGTATCGACTATCTAATTAATACAACTTAAATACGTGTAATAAAAGAGACCCGAGTATCTGAACATCCATTATAAGACAGCCGAAAGAACTCATATCAAAGATATTATCTTGTTATATGAACATCAAAGATTCTTATACAGTAATTATCATTCCAAGTGGTAAAGAAATTATATTATAAAAACTGGAAGATTGAATTTCTACAACTTAAGGAATTATGACAGACAGACAGACAGACAGACAGACAGACAGACAGACAGACACACAGACAGACACACAGACACACAGCCGGATAAAAACAAAGACAGAGATATTAAAAACCCCGGTGTCTTGCTAAGTTATTCTGAAGTTAAGGCCCAAAACCTGGCAACCCGGCCGCCGGAGCAGTGGACGAGTGTGAGGCGGTGGTGGCTAAAGAGTGCTGTATGTGCGGAGTGTGTTGTGGCGGTGAGCGGGGTTGTGGCGGTGTGGGTGAGTGTGTTGTGGCGGTGTGGGTGAGTGTGTTGTGGCGGGATGGGTGGGTGCTGCAAGTGGGTGGGGTGATGTGCGGCAGCAAGGGCAAGTGGCAGTGTGTGTAGTGTGGTAGTAGGGGTGGGTGGTAGTGGTGGTGGGCGGCAAGTGTGGCGGTCGTCACGTCATGGTAAGTAGGTCACCCACCACACCCGCCTTATCCCTCCCAGTCACCACCTCATCACGGGAGGTGTGAGA